TCTGATGAACTGCAGGCAGTGTTTCCACAGAACGGAGAGGAAACAACAAGAGAGAATGAGAGAACAATAAAACATACTGGATCAATAGAAGACAGACAAAATGTTAATAATTAAATATTCATTGTATGTAGAGACACACTTGTGGTTACTTGGAGATATATTCCACATGATTCCAAGTTTTTCAATGTTTATAAAATAGCTAATCAGAGAAATTATTACAAGTAATTTTAACTGTCATACTGTCATACAGAAGACATTTCTGAGTTCTTTCTACTTCTAGCCATGGTTGTGCTTTATATTGCAGTGAAAAATGAACCCACAGTGATTGAAAATATGACAGGAGCAAAGAACACCCAGAAACTGCTTAGAGTTCAAGCATGAATTAGCGAGCCAACCTGACACCTTTCTCACTGTAGTGGTCAGTTTGGATCTTGTTTTTTCAGTCGTGCACTGCTAAAAATCACAGTATCATCAACATAGATTTGAACACACTTGAGGAAGATCTTTCCTCAGCCTGACTGTGTTTACACTAGGCTACATAATCATGCGATGGCAGATGTTGTTGACATGCGTCTGCTTTGATGGAGCGACATTGTGAATATTGCGACCACAAGGAACTGTGGAACACCATTATGTCCTTTCGTTTTGGTAAGGTTGGATGGGTGTATCTTTGCTCAAGAAGATGAGAAGGGTTTTTTCAGCTTTTGTTTTTCCTCATTTATCAAGTGGAAACGTAACAGTGACAGACACGTATTTCCTTGATGTAACTCTTTATGTCTTTTTATTTTCCAGCTCATCTCCTCAGCGGACAGGGAAGGGCAAGGTGAGCAGCTCTGAGTCGGACCAATCGAGCACTGAGACGGACAGCACAGTGAAATCCCAGGAGGAGAGGACGGGACCTGCTGGACAAATGGATCCCCAAGAACTGGCCCAGAAGATCCTGGAGGAGACCCAGAGCCACATGCAAGCTGTGGAGAGCCTGCAGAAAGCAAACATTAGAGGCAAGACTCTGCGGGGAGCTGAGGGAAGAGGAGAGGCCAGACAGCAATCTCTGTCAACCCCCACAACCCCAACTCTGACCCCCACTGGTGGAGCTCGAGGGTTTCAGCCCTCTGAGACCAGCGCATTCAGTCGACCACCCAGCAGGGCCAGTCTGAAGGCATGTTCCTCTCCTCTTTCTAGTCATCCGCCATCCCTCTCCACTTCCATCTCAACACCTCCCCCAACTCGGCCCAAACCTCCATCCCGGTCCTCATCGCTGCAGAAAATCAGCTCAGGCTACAACAGCCCAGCTCATTCCTCTCCTTCTCTGTCGGTGAAGGAGCAGAGTTCACCTCTCTCTGGGGCTTCTCCAGGTGTGCAGCTCAAACTGAAACACCCTAGCTTGCCTTACACCGCCCACATCTCGCCTTCACGTTCTCCTGCTGACAGCGCCCCATCGCCAGCCCTTTCCTATTCCTCCACCGGATCCATCTCAGCCTCCTCTAGTCCTGCAAACACCCCCGAGCTGAATCAGACGAAACAGGAAAACAAAGTCCAGGCAATGCACAGCTTAAAGACATTCTGGGCCAACGCCAGTCAGAAACATGAGGGGCCCTGCCCGGCCAGCTTACTCCGAGGCGGGAATAAAAAAATGAGTACAGTTCAGAAAGATGTTTTGGGTTTGCTGAATCTCTCACCTAGACACGAATCTGTCAGGAAAAACGCAGAGGATCCTGAGAATCACAACACTGTTGACAGACCAAATGGTCACCAAAAACTGGAGGGTAAACCGCCTCCGCCTCCATCTGCTAGTCTTCCCACGAACTCTAAAGGAGGCATCAGACTTCCTTCTGGGAACGGCTACAAGTTTCTCTCACCTGGACACTTTTTCCCATCTTCTAAATGTTGAGAGTTTGGATGTTTGCCCTGCTGACCCAGGAGCCAGTCGACCAATCCTCTGGCTCATTTTCTGTGTGTGTACAATGACTGTCCGTTTTCAGAAAAATACAACTTCAGCAACCTCGGCTGAAGTCAAGAATTAAAAAAGTACCGTTTCATACTGATTTTACACATTTTTGTGAAGGGATGTAAATGCTTTGAATGTGATGACTGTGCCTTCTTCTGGATAGAGCTGGAAGGACAAAATAACTGAGATAAATGTCGAGTCTCTGGCTTTAATTGTGTTTTTATGATCGACTAGAGAGCATGTGTCTCGATGCCTCTGTGTACACTGAAAAGAAATGTTTTGACTTACAGTCAGTTGACTGAATGAACCTTTTATGTCAACCTGAACGCTCGCTATGTTTGTGTAAGCCGACCTGAATTGATTTATTGTGTAATTATTGTTACCAATGGTTATTGTTGTCATTTATTTTGTTAAGTAAACTGTGTTTTCCAGGCATTATTACACATTTTATAAAGACGATTAAAACAAAGGAAAAAGTAAAGAAAACCTTTTGAGATTTTTTATGCAGATTTCAAGTGTGAGTGTCAGCATGGTACTTCTTGCTGTTGAGTGTTTCATTACCTTTATAATGTACAATTTTGCAGTTCTGATAGACTACTATTCGGAAAATTCTCAATTCTCAAGGAGTTGAAAAATAAAAATATTCCTTTTTCCTTGCCTTCCTTTAATGACATAAAAATGCTAAGGATTCTTCAGTCACTGTTTTTATTTCTAATAACCACAAAATAGTACATCTTAAATTAGATATCAGCAGTTATAATGTTTATCTCAGTCCTTCCAAAAACTTAACAAAATGGGTTTCTGCTACCTTATACATGTATTACTCAGTGTTTCAGGGGAAAATATTATACTTTTATTCTGGTACACTTTTATTAACAAGTGTAGTTAGTTTTTAGATTGATCTTTAGTTTGTAGACTTAACTACCTAATAGCACAAACACTTTAAATTAGCTACACCTCAATACAGTCGTGACATTTTGTTGGTAATATATTTACTTGGGCCTTTTTGTAGTAGGACTTTCACTAGTTGAGTATTTTTATAGTGTGGTAATAAATAGTTCCTCTACCATTGCTGTAATTTTAATGCAATGGTAGAGTACAGTACATATTTATAGTGATTTTATGATGACAGCTATTATAGGTAATTGTGCTCTTTTAATCCCCTCTATGCACAATGTTAATATTCTCTTTAGGGACTTGATGTCTCTTGACAGCTTTTATCAAAATTGTGCTTTTATGGGTTCTGTGTAAATATTTTCATTATTTATTTGAACTTCAGGGCACTATTCTGTTGCTCATTAATGTAATTAGCTGTAATTTACTACTTCTAATTTAGTTGTGGTAATTATAGCCACAATCTATATAAGAACATGATTTCCATGGGTTCAGGCACAGTAGTTTAAAAACATAACTCAGAAATATGCTTATTTTACTTTAGAAAATTTGCACTTGTATGTGTAGAATTTGCCAAACTGCAATCAACCATTTCTCTTGAAATGGGAGGATTACAGTCAAAATAAGCGACAGTGTCTTTATATTTAGCTTTACTTTCTAAATCTCATAAACACAGATGTAAATCCCTTAACTATTTCAGTTTACATTCAAAATTCTGCATTGACAATGATTATTTATTGTAACAAATGTACAGCTTGTATTTTATTATCACTAAGACATACTGTAATAGCATACTGCTGCACTGTTGAGGAAGCAGCATACAGTGCTTTTACTTAAGTAAAAGTGACAATACCACAATAAAGAAATACTCTGTTAAAAGTAAAAGTCCACTATTCAGAAACTGTGTTAATTAAAAATATACAAGCATTTGCATCCAAAGGCCACCAAAAGTAACAGTACTCCAAATGCAGTTGACATTGGTAATAATAATGATTTATATATTAATGAATATAACGATTGAAGCAAATGCATATCATGGTGATGTTACCCCAAATAAAGGCATTGTTATTATTACTTATTTTATATACTACTGTGCAGCTTGTAGATCCCTTAAATGAAGCTGTAAACATATACGATTCAAACATGCCCAACCACAAGAAACTATGCAAATTCCACCAGAATAAAAAATTACTAGATACTGGTGCTTTCGTAATAGCCTAATTCGTTTTTAGCAGGACTGCTTTTACTGGTGTGTTCATACATTTTTGTGTCATTTATGTGGTACAATAGAGTCAGTTCTTAAGGTTCTGGAGCAGGAAAAAAGAGTTTTCAAATTTCAGAAAACTAGAAAAAATGACTAAATTAATTTGATCAAGCTCTGGCCAGCTAGCTTTAATTATCCTATAAGTGCCGTTCCTGCAGTTGCTGTTGGGTACCACTTCTGTAGATAAGATGCCAATCAAAGTGCTCAACCCAACAAAATTGAAAGGAAAAAAAACCTATAATCAGTAAAGAAATAACACAATAATAGAAAGCCAAGAAGCCAAGCTAAAATATAGAAACAAGGAGACAAGTTTGAATGGAGATAAATGAAGTGAACTCAGTTAAACCCAGACCAAAAAGATAAGTCCTTAGTTTGCTGTTTAAAATACACGGTTCCTTTTCACCAATGTCAATATCGGTAGATCTGCTTTTCATTCTAGTCTTGGTTATGAAACAAACTCTAAACATGCAGTGAATATAGTACATGGTTGATACAATGAACATGCTGTTATAGTGAGTATAGTACATGGTTACTATAGGCAGCATACTGTTTTATTGAATACAGCAAATGAATAATACAGTACACCTACTGTTCAAGTGAACACAATGCATGTTTCTCACAGTAAATATACTGTTATGGTGAATATAATACATGGCTAATTCAGTAAACATACTGCTACAGTGAATACAGTACATGGATAATTCAGTAAACCTACTGTTGCTGGGAATACAATACGTAATTGATACACTAAGCATCCTGTTATGGGGATTTTAGTACACGTTTAATACAGTAAATGACACTTGAATGGTGTGGATGTTTCAGCCAATCAGATTTAACCTCGAGGGCGGAACCAACTTGTTGATAATTCTCTCTGGTGTCGACTCCCAGTGCGCAGCCGCAACCCGGGTGACGAAGATGGTGCTCATCAAGGAATAGTGAGTCTGAAGTGTTTTTAAAAAATGTCTTTTGGCGCATTTACTGGGGAATTTCCATCTGTCCCGGGGCGTATTAGCGAGGAGTAAACGTATATGTGTCGTTTCTTGCTGTCGTTCGCTAAATTTCACGACACCGCAGCCGGCAAAAAGGCAGCTTTAAGCGGGGTGGATCAGGACGTGGATAACGGGACGCACCGGTCTTTTTTAGGCGTTGCTAGTGGGAGCTAACGTTAGCTTCTGAGTTGTAGCAGCGAAGGGGATAATTAGCTTCTTAATGAAAACGAGTTACATAAAAATACTGCGCTGGTTACACACAACCACGTTCAGTTACTTAACATGACTTTAGTGGTTGCATATATCGCCAGTTAACCAGTGAGCAGGGTGTTATATCTGTTAAGTGCCGTAATGTTAAGCTTTAGTCCCGTGAGTGACAGATTAAGGTTCCCTCTCCGTCGGATTTACCATTAATGCTAGCTGGCTAAGTTAGCCGGCTAGCTGCTAGCATGACAATTCCCTGACAACCGAGTTCATCTGTAAAGCGCACATCTAACAGCTAAGCTATTGCTTATAGTCAAAGCAGACGTAGCGATGACACATAGTTCGGCAGGATTTAACACATATAATGTCGCGGTTTAGCTTGGGGGACATAACTACCTCACTGGTACTTTGTTGGCGCTAGCTTTACAGAGTTAGCTCTTTAACTGGGCGGCTAATACCAACATAACAGTAATATTGCTTAGTTAATGTAATTTATCATTAGGCTGCACAAAGATCGCTTTTCTTGGGACCGTGCAGTGGTCATTTTATTGATTGTATTCTTAGTAAAATTAGCGTTGCTGTGTGGCTAGCCTGTATGAGCTACATATAACGGTACCTGTTGTTAGGAGTGGGCGATAACACAGAATTTAATACTAGGTAATACAAGATCAAGGATCATCAACACCAATATCTATACTATTGTGAAAATCAAGCAATGTACTATCTTAGAAGGGAGAGAAAAACATATCACAGTTGCTAAAATAAACCCATTATAAACGTGGTACTTCTCGATATATTTCAATTGCAACCAAACATGAGGCATTTTTCCTTTTACTAATTTTAATCACGTGTTGATAATACAGCTGCAGGACTAATCAAGTGAGTGAGGGCTGGCACTAATGGCTGTTTTTTGTTGATTAATTACACTGCAATCAAATAGCAAAACAACTATTTAATTCAAGTTATTTTTTGTAATAAACTTTATGTCATTGTATAATACAGCACAATATGAAATGTAAACAAATGCTTACATGTACAGTGTCAAACTGGAAACAGCAACACGAGAAATAATAAATTGAAAAGAGGGCTTGCTATTTAAGTCAATAGGCGTGCTTGTGTATTGTACCATGCTGCTGTGGTATGCCATTGAAACTCTGCACAGTGTAGAAACCACCTTTTTGTTCTTTGGTAATTTGAAGTACTGTCATACTTTCAAAGCTTTGGGTCTTTGGAAACTTTTACACTGACCAGAGTCAGACTCTGCTGCAGCCGCTATTGTCTAAAACTGTAGACTGCAGCTGAATGATGGCTGGAGCCTGAAAGGTCATGACATAGTAATTATGCAGTGATACTCAAGAAAAACATTTGCTATAATGAAATGAAATCATTTTAAAACGACAACAAAACAATCAAACAAAAAAAACCTGTCAGTTAAAAATGGCACTGACTTTTCATTGACAACATCAGTGATTATGACAGCTAATCATGACAGTTGTAGACTTGATTAGCTGTCAACTATGTAATTATTTATTATTAACTGATTGCTACTTCTTATGCACTCCTCTACACTGAATGTCTTTTCATTATTGACTAAGAAGACATTTGACAATATCATCTTGGGCACTGGGACACACTGACATTTTTCATAAAGTTCTGACATTTTATAGACCAAACATCTAATTGATTTATCAAGAACAAATTAATCATCAGCGAAAATAATCATTAGTTGTAGACCTAGTTTGAACTAAAGAAGCGATCACATCAGACGTGCACACAACAGCAGCAGAGATGTAGATATTAATTAGTGTACTAAGAAGAGAGCACCTTATTTGATCTAAATAGAGCTGAACCCATTTGTCACTAGACTGACAAAAAATAATCAGCAGTAAAATAGTGATACTGAAAAAACGCATTAGTTACAGTCTTGGATCTGAGATGATCAAAGCATTTTTTGGTATTGATTGCATTGACAATATACTCAGAACAACTTCGTATCAGTAATATTAATACTTTTAGAATCGATCCACCAACCTCTATCTGTTAAAGCTGTAGGATGTTAAACTATCCTGGTTTAACCTACTGCTTGGTTTTTCGATTGTGTAAATTAGTCACTGGCGCTTACCTCAGTCACAGCAGACAGAGTCTCCTGAATACTACATGATTGATTTTTATCTAAGGTGTACTTATTTTCACACGAGGGCTGCAGCTAATTTAATGAATACCTATTTTTAGTGTTGATTAATTGTTTTGATTATGAAATTAAAAAAATTTGCAGAACTTGGAGCACCTAAAGCCAAAAAAAAATGTTGATTCAAGATATTTAATTTACTATCACATATGACAGAGACCAACAGAAAATCATTACATTTAATGAGCTTTGACGAATAAATTTTGGCATCTTTTCTGTTTTTCCCTCACCTTTGTAATATTAATAACAACAGCAATAATAATAAACTTATTTGAATAATGCGTTACAACACAGTTACTTAGTGTGTACTCAGTGTTTCAATGAATGACATGAGAGACAGTTGTAAAATGAATGTAGAAAAACCAGACATAAAATATAAGATAAATCATTGTCCAGGAAATATAAAATCATGCATGCTAATTTTAGTTTTTGGCTGCAGTGGTCTATAGCTTGCTCTTGTACTGCTCTCAAACCAACAAAGAACTAAATATTTGCTGTCTTGCTAAAAAATACAGTCAGTTAGCAAACTGACATGTCTATCAAATCTGGTCCACACATGTTCCAGCAAAGTAAATTAATCACCAACTATTTTTAAAATTGAATAACTAGGCTGAGTAACTTTTTTTTTTTCTTTTTTAAAGGTAAATTCTCTGATTCTAGCTTGTTAAATTAGTATATTTTCTGGTTTCTTTCCTCCACTGTGTCAGTAAACTGAATACCTGTGGGTTGTGGACAGAAAACAGCACATTTTTAAACAAAGGTCAATGAACTTTAGAACAAACTCGTACCCAAAATAGAGACAAATTGTCCAAGTGTCTTCGCTCGGTCAAATGTCGATGGTGATGGTTGTGGTTCTGTTATCAGTGATGCCTCAGTATCATTTTGTCTGTTATGTGCACAAATGATGTTCACACTGTCTCATCCTCTACACAAGAGAACTCTATAAAGAGCTGTGGAGTACTGTGGCATGTTTTTGTTTACTGCCAGATTAAACTTTGTCGTAATTTCTAGCCTGTTCAGTGCATTTTATACAGTGTTTATAAGTAGTAGACATGTGCCACCCATTCAACACCAAATCAAATTCACTAAAGCACAATTTGACCAGGAACCCATCCGAACTGACCTGTACTGTAAAATTGACAGCTTACATAATAATGTTGAGGAGAGCTGTTATCACTCTTGTGAAATACAGTTTTGTTCATGATTGACAGAGAAATGCTGTGCAAAATGTTACAGATGTTCCATGACTTGTTGACCTAATGGACCTTAATGTATGCATTTAGGTCCATTGGGTCAACAAATAATGGAACATTTGTAATCACGTGGTGACTCTGCTAGTTTTTGATGCAATTTAGAGCTGTAGCTGTGGATTATTTTATCAGTTAATCTATGAATTACTTTACTGAATAGTTGTTTGGTCTATGAATTGTAACAGAATTGTGAATACTTGTTTCCTATAGCCTTAAATGACTTCTTGTACTTTTTTTATTGTTTTAACTTCCTATCATCGCATTTAGGAAGCTGGAATAAGTGTATGTTTATATTTTGATTTTAATTACAATATATTAAATATAATATTAGTTCTTTATTCTGTTTGTTGTACATTTAAAACATGTGGTGGAGCGTTGCCACATTAGATGCCATCAAAAGCTTGACTCACACAAGAAGGATGGCATGAATTTGTAAGGGTCAGACACGCTGCACAATTTCCATGTTGCAGCCTTTGCTGATTGCACTGATTAATTGATTTGTGGAATCTCCTAATCTTTCAGCCCTTGTTAAGACTACTACTAATTGGTTAATTGAATAATTATTGCAGCTATAGCTGGTTTTGTAATGTCTGATCAAAGAGAAGGTAATTAAACTACTTATAATTAGGATTTTTCTGAAAGCTGCCAGCTCTTTGTGTGTTTTATAGCATTATAGTAGTACATGTGCTGTGTGGACTGGAGGTTACATACCTGCAGGTTACCTGAACTACACTTGAACTGTGACTGCTAAAAGATTAAAATTGCCAGAGTTTGGCCCATTTTAATCCCAGCAAGTGTTTTCCAATGCAGACCTTCTCTCTGCTGTTATTAGTATTCAGAATGAGTGTTAGTAAGTGTAAACACAGTTTGAATATATGATGCAAATTAGAAGTTGACCTATATACATTTAGCAAGACCAATCCATTCACCAAAAATGTATAATAACAAAACCTCCAACTCACAATGTCATTAAATGCCTTCATTTATGTATGTCTCATTAAAAGAGAAGCTTTCAACATTTATCTTTCAGTGTTGATTGGCTTTTACTCGTGATGTGTAACCAGTCAGTTCATCAGCTGTGAGCAGGACATTGTTTGAGATCACATCAGGGCAACAACCTCCAAAGCAAATCGCAGCCACTGTGATCTGGCCAGTGACAAGCTATGCATGTCTTCTCTGAAGGAATGATTAAACAATTGACTTTGGCCATTTTCCCAGCACAACAAGAGTGATTTCTTAATTGTAAATAATCAATCAATTGTCACCTGAAGACAGCACAACAGTTTTTTATGTAATCTCATTAGTTGTGGGTTTGAGGCATATCGCAGACCTTTTGTATTTTAGATTCAAATTTGTGTTTATTATATAGATGCAAAACACAAATAGTTTGATTAATTATCCTTCCCTTTTTACACAGTACAGTGAAATTGATGCTACAATTTATTTGAGATATCAGGGTTTTGCCTGCGTAAAGAAATATTTGATGCCTACGACTAAGATAGAATTGGGTTTTCATTTGAATAAAATAATGAACATTCTTGTCTGTAGGACAAGAATAATATAAAGTCCATTGATTTGTTGAATAAGAGTCTTTCTTTAAGCAGACAATCAGAGTCACCCCCGAAAGGCTGAGCCAGGAAAAACCCTGAATATACTTACACAGAAAACAATATTGATTGTCACAGGAAAAAAATAGAAACTAGTGTATTACTGGTGGTTTTACTGATTACGTTCTCATGTTGTGCCAACATATGCTGTTCAGGGAAATTAAGAGATGTACAAACTTGACTCAAAAGTGAAAGCTCTCAGCTCTTCCCAGCACCAGATTAAAATCATGCTGGTGTAACATAGTTCCTGTGCTTGCCTGCTCTGCTTCAAAATCTCTGTTGTGGATGCTTTTGTGCATTTAGTCAGACCTGCAATGTTGATTTCTCTCTGTTACAAAAGCTGCAGTGCACACTAGTGTGAGCCAAAGCCGCACACAACACACTCTGCCTTTGTGTTTACAGTTGTTCAACATTGTTCCTGTGGTTACACGATTGTCAAAATTGGGTTGAAAATTGTGTATATTTTGGCATGTTATGTAGATGTTGTGATTTTACGTGGCATGCAGGTTATGTCTGTATGATTGTTAAAGTCTATTCCTGACTATAAAATTGGTGCGTGTGAACTGTGAGGTGTAGATGTTCAGGACTTTTTGTCGCTGCATCTATTTTCAGCATTGATTATGTGCCAATTATTTTCTTTCAACTCTTGCTTTCGCTCAACTAAAATGCTTTTTTGATTAGCTGCATTTGTTAGAAATTCTTACACAACCATCCTTAAAAGTAGATGTCATTGTCAAATTTGACATATTCTCTGTTACAATCTTTATTCTCTTGGCTAAATACATGTCACATAATAGCTTTAAGTTGTTTGGGTAGATGCTTAAGGACTTTCTGCCCTTAACTGACTGCATATTGTCAGCCTGTGTACCGTCTCCAGCAGTCAGTCAGTCAGTGTGTTTTTAGGTTCAGGGTGGGGTGTAGTATCTGCCAGTCTTAGTGGAGGGTTGGTATGAATTTGGAGAGGAGGAAGAGGTGCTGCCTGAGACGACAGGAAACCCCAGGACAAGAAACTCCCTTTTTACTTGTGTGTCTGTTCAGGCAGTCCTGTCATTCCATAGTCAAGCTGTACATAATGGAGTCCTGGTTATACTGCTGATCTCGCTGACTCTGTGACTCTATTTTCATTGCATTAATTGGAATTATGTAATAGTATACAAGCATATTGGTGGCCTGAAAACCTGCATACCTACCATACTTTCAACCAATTGACTGGCTGCAGGGAGGGGGAAAAAAACAACATCTTGTGTGTAAAAAAAAAAAAAACAACTAAATCAGCCACAGTATGCTGCAGACATGTCAACTGTCAGCAGTTTCATTTTTTTATTATTTTTTTTTAAGTCAAAATTCTTCTATACTAGCTTTTTCAATTTCCTGATATCTTTACTCTTCTGTGACAGCCAGCTAAATACCTTTTGGTTGTAAATAAAACAAGACATTTGTCATCTTGGGTTTTGGGAAACACTGATTGACACTGAGTGTACTTTAGCAGCTACCCTTATTAGCCCACATGAATTCCAAATCTACACTGAAGGCTGGTATTTACAGCATATTTAATCATTTGAGCCCAGTTATTTTAGATTTAAACGATAACAACAGTTTGATAGCTGGCCAGTGTGCACCTGTCCTTATTCATATGATTTCTGAAAATAGAACTATATCAACTGGTGATCCCAGGCCATGAACTATTAAGGACTATAACACAGACAAGCTAACCTGCTGTTTATAGATGATCTACTGTGTTGGTTGTTGAGCTGTGATATACAAACTGCTGTTTGCAAAGTTTACACTCAACTTGTCGTCCATCAGTTTGAACGAAGGGCAGCCATGTCACTGACTGCTTTGGCATGGTGGCTGTTAGTTTGGAGCTGACTCTTGGTAGACGTTCAGTAAACGTTAAATAAGCTAGACCTAGCAGCTTCCATCAGGTTGGGCCCTTTAAAATTATGATAATGTGGGGGTGTTCACAGGTAGTCTCTTCCTACTGCCACCAAAAATTATGGATTCATCTTTGAAGGCTGTTGATGTAGCACTTCTGTCTTTAGAAAACATACACAAAGGATTGTCTAAGCATTGAGAATTTCATTGAATGAGAGCATATTAACCAATCAATTGACCATGTGTAATCAGCGGGGTATTTAGGCTTCTGACCAGCTTCCTTGTGTGAAACATTTAAACATGTATAGTCTGTTTTTCTGACAGTGTTCAACTTATTTGTTTCTCTCTCCATCCCCTGCCCCACCTCTCCCTTGTTTGCCCCCTCAGCCGTGTAGTGTTGCCAGTCTCTGTGGAAGAGGTGAGTATTGTTACCTCCATATCCTCTTTAATATTACATGAGCAACTATTTCAATTCACACAAAACGCTCATCTACTCAGGTTTTAATCTGGAGATGTAAGATGTAACAGCCTTTGTTACAGTTCACTGGTGTTACTGTGACAGACTGGTGTTGGTGGTCCCAGGGAAAAGGACTAGGCTGGGCTGTGGGCTTGTTTTTAAACTGAAAACTGCTTGTCGTAATAACAGCAATCACATTTTTCTTTGCACAAGTGTCTATTTAGTCTTAAAAATAAAGTACTGTTTGTTTCGGTTTTATTTGAGCCCAGGCCCTTTGTGATGTCCAGTAACACGGTACATTGGTCCAAGTTCACAGCCTTCTCTGCTCGTGGAAAAACACAATGGAATGCAGTTAGCAGAGTCAGTTTTAACAAGAATACACACAACCAGAGGTGTTCCTACTTTTTGTATCTCTTCACAATAGTGTTATAAGGAGCAACATCATTTAAATATATCAAATGTCATTTCTATAGACCAACACGTCCCAACAAAAGGAATAGGTTTATTTTACCAATTAGCTACAATTCTTCTTCCTCATTCAATAATTTTGTGAGGTTATCCACAGGTTGAGAAAAGGATATTTTGAAGCCTTTTAGTTCAAAAGTACATCTCAATGCAAGCTTGGCTGTGAATGTATAATCTTCAACTTAAATATACCTTCATTTATACTCAAAACGCTTTTTTATAGGGAAGCCTCATTTACAATATAACAGAGTAAGAAAAAAATCAAAAATGTGCACACAAATAAGGGGTAAGAATGACGACAAACAACAATTTTTAAGTTAAAGCAATGCATCAAACAAGGAGAACTGGAGGTAAAATAAGACAACATTAAAGAATTAAATGGCCCTGAGGATAATAATGCATTCAGAAATATTCAGCTAAATACTAGGACAAATAAGCAAAAAAATCACCATAGTTGAGAGGCTGAGGCTCCTACCTCCTACCTCTTTCAGATCATTAGGTGTGTACCTGTCTGTGTGTGCGTGTGTGTGTGTGTCAAAGTTTTTTTTGTTAAATTTCTGTGTTGCATCTAGTGGCTGTTAGTGGCACTGCATCCTTGAGGCACCTGCACATCCTTCAGGGACTTGCTTGGCCTTTGCCTTTTCTTGCAATTAATCTGAGAATGTGTCAGTGTAGTTAAGGCTGCCTATTCACTCTGTGTCTTCTGTTTCTGTTCCATTTTTTTACAGTATCAAGTAGGGCAGCTGTACTCTGTGGCTGAGGCCAGCAAGAATGAGACAGGAGGAGGAGAAGGCATTGAGGTGCTGAAGAACGAGCCCTATGAGAAGGATGGGGAGAAGGGACAATACACACATAAAATATACCATCTAAAGAGGCAAGTCTGTGCAATAAATTTGCTTCAAAAAGTGAAGACAGATTCAGCAGCTGCATGGCTTATTTCTTACCTTAAAAGTTTTCAGAAACACCTTTTTTTTTTGTGAACTGATTTTGTAATTTAAGCAAAAGCTTCCAAATGAACCAGTGCATTGGTCAAGTTTGGAATCGAGGAGCAGACAGGCTATGAGTGAAGCGTTTGTCCAGGCAGATGCAGTCAGTGTTCGTTGTAGGGGGGTGTTTTCTGTATTAGTCTCATATTAAAGAGAACCTACCTGTCAATCATCTATTGTAACTAGTGTGACTAGTTGCCTCGTCTCATGCCATTCAAGCATCCAGAGTTAGAAAGTGATGCAACCCCTTATGTCCAAACACATCGTTATGAATGAGTACAGTGAACGTTACTCCATTTGCTGATATTGCTGTTTTTATCAATGGACATGCAGCCATGAAAGCATCTTAGTCACACGTGTTACAGGGTTAAAGGGTTGCTGTTCAAGTAGATCCCAAGTCCTCTTCTCCTTGTCTGGCCAAAAGGTCATTAAGCATCATGGAAGTCTTTGTCATGGTGGCCCTTTGTTAGCTGAACCCCCACAATGTGCTCTGCTTGCTGACATGTGACTGTCTGTAGTCTGTGTGAGCGTGCCAGTATTAAACATGAAGAGACTTCATCTGGTGACACAAGCAGGTACTACAACTAATCTACAATATATTTTTATCCGGTCATATATTTAAAGATGATGAAGTTATTATCGGCAATTAATTGATTAATCATTAATTATTAACATCTCTAGTTCACCCATGTAGAGCCACTTTCACAGCTGCCATGTGAGTCTCAATACTGATTGGTTAAATAAAAACAAGTGCCATTTTTTTTGCCCTGTCAATGTCCTCGTCAAGTAGCAATCTTCTTTTCTCTTACATAGAAGTAAAATTCACCACATGGGCAAACGGGCTTCCCAGTGCTCTATTTCCTATGTGCCCATAGAACTTGAGTCACATCCATTCATTTGTTATCTTGATGCAGTCTGAGTTAATACTGTGGTCTAAACGTTACACCACAATGAAAACAGAAAGGCTGAATTGTCCAATTGTAGAGCTGTTTCTGTAAACAATCAAACCACCTCATGCATGCCCAAGTTCCTGCTGTGAAAAGCCACCTATTCTCTTTATCCCACACTCCCAAACCTAAGTAGGTAAGGCACTCTTAAATCTGATGGTGCACCGTGTTTGGCAGCAACCTCATAAGAATCTCTGCTTAATCTGGCTGTTTCACAACAATTCAAACATTTTTTTTAACCTCACAGCACAAACACCACTTCCTCATGGTGTCGTCCATATTTAAAGATCATGTCTCCATGCACACTGCCGAATACATCAGTCACCAGTCACTGGATCTTAAACGTCATCATAGGAACAAACTGTCTGTTGAACACAGTCCTCCATCTTCATCTCTTAAACACTTTCATCGTAGTCAAAGGTTAAATTTCTCTGGCGCATATGGATATAAAATGTAGTGGTGCAACTGAACTCAAGCTTTTCTAAAGACAAACCCTCATCCTTTTTCATGTCAGGCGTTTCCACTTATTTTGTCCCCCTTTTGTATATTGTATTGCTGATCCTTTGATGTTGCAGGATATACACACGTGGACAAAATTGTTGGTACTCCTCGGTTAATGAAAGAAAAACCCACAACGGTCACCAAAATAACTTGAATCTGACAAAAGTAATAATAAATAAAAATTCAATGAAAATTTAGCAATGGAAATCAGACTTTGCTTTTGAACCGTGGTTTAACAGAATTTAAAAAATAAAAATAAAAATCATGAAACAGGCCTGGACAAAAATGATGGTACCCCTAGAAAAGACTGAAAATAATGTGACCATAGGGACATGTTCAATCAAGGTGTGTCCTCTAATGAGCATCACAGGTGTCTACAAACTTGTAATCAATCAGTCAGCATATTTATAGGGTTACAAGTAGTCACTGTGCTGTTTGGTGACATGGTGTGTACCACACTAGACATGGACCAGAGGAAGCGAAGGACAGAGTTGTCTCCGGAGATTAGAAAGAAAATTATAGACAAGCATGTTAAAGGTAAAGGCTATAAGACCATCTCCAAGCAGCTTGATGTTCCGGTGACCAGTTGCACATATTATTCAGAAATGTAAGATCCATGGGACTGTAGCCAACCTCCCTGGACGTGGCCGCAGGAGGAAAATTGATGACAAAACGAAGAGACGGATAATACGAATGGTATCAAAAGAGCCCAGAACAACCTCTAAAGACATTAAAGGTGAACTCCAAGGTCAAGGTACATCAGTGTCAGATCACACAATCAGTCGGTGTTTGAGCCAAAGTGGACTTCATGGGAGACGACCAAGGAGGACACCATTGTTGAAAACAAATCATAAAAAGCCAGACTGGAATTTGCCAAAGTGCATGTTGACAAGCCACAAAGCTTCTGGGAGAATGTCCTCTGGACAGACGAGACAAAACTGGAACTTTTTGGCAAGGCACATCAGCTCTATGTTCACAGAAGCAAAAATGAAGCATATCAAGAAAAGAACACTGTCCCTACTGTGAAACATGGAAGAGGCTCTGTTATGTTCTGGGGCTGCTTTGCTGCATCTGGCACAGGGTGTCTTCAGTCTGTGCAGGGTGCAATGAAATCTCAAAGACTATCAAGGTATTCTAGAGAGAAATGTGCTGCCCAGTGTCAGAAAGCTTGGTCTCAGTCACAGGTCATGGGTCTTGCAACAGGATAATGACCCAAAACACACAGTTAAAAATACCCAAGAATGGCTCAGAGGAAAACACTGGACTATTCTGAAGTGGCCTTCTATGAGCCCTGATCTAAATCCTATTGAACATCTGTAGAAGGAGCTGAAACATGCCGTCTGGAGAAGGCACTCTTCAAACCTGAGACAACTGGAGCAGTCTGCTCATGAGGAGTGGGCCAAAACACCTGCTGAGAGGTGCACAAGTCTCATTGACAGTTACAGAAATCGTTTGATTGCAGTGATTGCCTCAAAAGGTTGCGCAACAAAATATAAAGTTGAGGGTACCATTATTTGTGTCAAAGCCTGTTTCATGAGTTTATTTTTTAAAATAATTCTGTTGAACCACGGTTCAAAAGCAATGTCTGATTTTCATTGGTTAAATTTCATAGAATTTTTATTTATTATTACTTTGGTCAGATTCAAGTTATTTCTGTGACCATTGTGGGTTTTTCTTTCATTAACCAAGGGGTGCCAACAATCTTGTCCACGTCTGTAGGTGTAAGAGTTTAAGCCAGTATATGTGGCACCAACAACAGAATCCATTGCAAGTAGAATCATAGAATTGATAAGATATTTAAATGTTAAGCTTTAGTCTTTTTCCAGACGAGACAAAGTGGCTTATCTTAGATTTTAAAGATATCCTCTGCTTCAGATGTTGATGTTTTTTTTTTCTTTTTTTCTTTTCTTTTTTTTTTTTTTTTTTAAATTCTCATTGCAGTAAAGTCCCGGGATATGTGAAGATGATTGCACCAGAGGGAGCGTTAGTTTTTCACGAAAAGGCTTGGAACGCCTACCCGTACTGTCGCACCAGTAAGTTCATGCTTCATGTCCATTTATTACATCGAGCTGTTGTGATTTGATAAATGTGAATGATTTAATTACATGCAGTCCTGGAATCACTTAAATTAGCATTTTATGGATGCAGTGACATCAAATTTTATATGTACTTTGATCGTTTTCAGTGATTGATGTTTGATACTGATTTTGTCTTTTTCTTTCTCCTTGTTCTTCTCCTCCCTCTCTTTTACCTTCATTCTCTACAGTTGTGACGGTGAGTTGTTTTTTTGTTTTTTTGTTTGTTTTAAGACCACATTACACCAAATGGTTCATTCATTCATTAGCTATACCTGCTTGTGCTTGATGATTGTGCAGTCTGAAGTCTATCACAGCTGACATCGGTTGCCAGTCAATCACAGGGCTAACACACAGTATATAGAGAATGACTATCACACCTGGATTAATCATTGATGTGTTTGTGATGTCTGTTAAATTAATCGACAACTATTTTCATACCATTGAGTGATTTGATGGGGGTTTTAATAGAGAATATATATATTTATTTCAGCTTCTTAAATGTAAATATATTTTTTGATTTCTTTTCTTCTCTGTGATGGTAAACTGAATATCTGCAAGTTGTGGAAAAAAATAAGACATTGTGAGGCTTTGAAGACACTGATTGAAACAAACAACTAATTGATCAATCCAGAAAAAAACTGACATTGAAAAAGAATCATTAATTGCTGTTAATGTGCTTCCATGTGGATGGTGATTTGTTTCAGTACAAATATGCAGGTTTAGGTTCCATAAAGTTAAATTTGATGCAAAAAGTTTAAATTCCATCAAAACTATTTAGTCTTACCTTGAAAATTGTTTTAAAAAATATAAATAGTTTAAAGTGCTGGTTGGCCAGGCCTTTAGGTTCAGTGTATAACTGTTTAACACAGAGATATTTGATGCAACTGTCTGTCCTTTGATGAGTGTCTTCACAGCCCAGTATTGGTGTATATCACCTGTAAGCTAACTACTGTTGCTAGGGATAAAAATAGACAGGAACTGAGCACTGCAGCATCTCCAGTGTTGTTTCAGCCCTAACGTCTGATTGGCTAATTGGATTTAGCAGTAGGGTTTAAGTACATCTCTCACAACCCTCCATTCATGGTGTACAGTTCGTACTGGCTAAGATCAGCTGATCCTGTCAGTTTAACAGTGGTGCCTGATTCCTGTGTAACAGCTTGGCGTAGATTGACTTCATTATCCTCCTCAAGACATCTGTGTTTTCTCTCCCGCTTTTCAGAATGAGTACATGAAGGACGACTTTATGATAAAGATCGAGACGTGGCACAAACCTGACATGGGAACAGTAGAAAATGTGAGTGAGCAGAAGACACAAAGTGGAGCCATGCTGGTGTTAAATAATATTACAAAATTTATTTAATATTTTGCACTCATGTCAAGTCATGGGACAAAAACATTACAGAAGTAGAGGTTTCCTAACTGTTGTCTCCTAATATGTGTAACACCACAGAAAGACTGGATCCCATGAGAGAATGTATTATTCAGCCCTCAATGCCTGATAAATACATGCCCACATGTTTTAAACTTGATGTCCCCAGTTTATAAGATGTCATTTTGTTACTATGTTATCCTCTAAACTCCTCCAAAAACACAAAAGACATAAATACATTTGTTTCCAGAGGCTCAACCTTGTGGAAGGTTCAGTGGAGTGCCCCTTGAAGCAGACAAAGCAAACTCCATTTTTCATATTTGTGCATTGGCAAAATAAGTTGACTGTCGTACAGAAACATTACCGTGCACTGGTGTGGGTCTGAATTTGAATCTGATTTGATTTAAACTTAAAGACCGACTTGAAAGGAGCCTTACTTATGTTTTGTCTTTGCTAGGTCCATGACCTGGACGAGCAGACATGGCCAACTGTTGAGGTGGTGCCCATAGATATTGCAAGCAAAGACGAAGTGGCCTCTGGGGTGAGTTTTTACATTGAGGGTCTTCATTCAAGGGTCTTCAAAAAAATGTAATCTTGTGTTGAAGAGTTTTTTGTTTTTTTTAACAAAGTGTTGAAATATGTTGTATTTGTAGCCCTAATGTTGCAAGACTGGAGAGAATTTTCAGTTTAGTTAAAGTGAGTTTTCAGAGTCGGTTAGTCCTAAAATAGGATCGGTTTCTGGATATTTTTTCCTCCCTGTGGCCTTGTTTTTCACAGCAATATAAAGTCCTGCACCTCTAGAAACACCACAAACATGGCTAGAGATGAGATGAGATGATTAACAAATGTTGTCTGTGTAGTATGCTACAGCTAAAATGTCATGAATCATAAAAACGGGGAAAAAACAAAAGTTCAGTTTTTTGGTCATTTGTTTTTCCAAAAATAAATGGAATCACTATGTATAGTGTTTTCCAGACCCACTACTCTAGAAAGATATTTCACCATGCTGAATGTATCTTCAACAAGTTACAGACAACTTGGTCCTCCGTATACGGTTTTTGAACCTCACTGCATTTATTTTATTGATTCAGAATGTTTCTGTAAGCAGAGGGGGAAATCTATGAAACAGTTATGATTACAGCTGTCAGATTCTGAGCTTCAACAGCAATGGAAGAGTGTGAATCTGTGATTAGTAGAAGACTTCACTGATGAGGACTCTGTTCTTGGATTACCGAGACCTCAAGGAAACTTTCCCAGTAAATGTTGGAAAAAGGGGGTCAGGGCCTTCCTATATTTGGGACATTACAGTATTAAGTAAGTGGATCAGTGTCACCTGAACAGCAGGTATTATTCAGTGACACCAGTGAATTCAAGCAGGATGTCTCCACCATGAGGAAAACTGTGGTCATACAGGTTCACTGGAGCCAAAATAGCCGTGCAGATGCATCCACTCATGCGAAACCTCACCGAACAGAATTAAATACTTTGACTGCAGTCACAAACTTGAAGTTTTGTGGAAGTATGTGTGAACATGCAATCTGGTGGTTGGTTGTCACATTAATATGTAGATAAGATTACAAAATGAAACAATCAGGGGATAAATTAGGTGATTACAAAGGAACAGCTTTCCTTGATTCTCCGCTGCTAAAGATTTTACATTAATAACAACTCTGCAGGGTTTTCTTTGTCCTTTTCTCTTACTCAATGACCCTCCTTTGAAACCTGTTAGTTGAGCCGTTTCAATAGCAGCATCGTGGGCAGAGTTCATGGTTTGACTCACAGTGAATCAAAAATCAATTCTGAATAGACATCAGTAACTGGAATTGAATCAAATACAGAGACTTGAGGATTTTTTAAACAGTCCAAACATTCAATTTGTGCGTAGGTTGGGGTGAAAGGTGGGACACAGCTGTGCCCTCCACCCCTCAACAACAGCTTTACTTTTAGTTTATTTTACTCTTCTGTACAGATGAAAGCTGGACAGTTTGTTCGTACTAATTTCTATTCTTCCTTGGCAAGTTTTAAACAGTTTTTAATTGATGTTCAGCAGTTTTATTAATTCATAGTCACTGACCGATAACATCATACAAGGACGAGGGGACATTACTGCATGTCCTATTGAATCCACTTTGACTTTTCTCGCTCAGATTGCATATGTCACGTAATGTAGGCTGACTGACACGGACAATTGGTAATCTGCTCGAAGTGACACTGTCTTAGCGCACTCTCATGTTCCCTCAACACCAGTGCTCTGGCTGGTAACCATTAGGCAGCACAGGACACTTTCAAACAGTTGCACTTTACGAGCTAAACTCCCACACTGCCCTCTGCTTGCCAACACAGAACTGCTGGTAGTCGAGTGAGCTCATCCTCAGGTTGGCACAATGTTTAGCAGTAAGCTGTACCTGGTGGCAGATCCAGGTACTACAACAAGGTATAATAATATATTTTCTGGCATTTCTTTTGCCTTATCGGTTATCCATCCATCCAGGTCACCAGTCTATCGCAGGGCTACACTTAGAGACAGACAACCAAGCACACTCACATTCACACCTACGGACAATTTAGAATCACCAATTACCCTCAACATGTTTTTGGACTGTGTGGGAGGAAGCTGGAGAACCCAGAGAGAACCCACACTGCACGGGGAGAACATGTAAACTCCACACAGAAAGATCCCATGTGTCCTCACCGGGGCACGAACCAGCGACCTTCTTGCTGCGAGGCGACAGTTCTAACCACTGCTCCACCTTGCAGCCCCGCCTTATCGGTTATTATAGTTTTAATTTGCTAAATTATTAGTGACAGTAAATTGTTCAACAAGTAATCACTGACATGCATTATTCCTCCTCCACCTCTGAAATAAGGCGTGGGTCAAGACATGTCTCCCCCATGCTTGCTGGGGGATGCAGTAAAGGCTCTGGTCAGAACTTGCTTCTTTGGCTGATATTTTGCTCTGACTTTCAGATGTTAGTGGTCAGTGTCTGTCCATCTTTGGTTTAAGACAAATTAATGCTGTTTGGGAAGCTTTTATAGCAGTCACAGGCAATTCTGTGTTGGCAAGTAAAGAGCATGCATCTACCAATAGGTCACTATGAAAGAAACTTCTGTGACGATTAATGATCTCCGGCCAGAGCTCATGTTTGAGACGAGTCGGGATCAAGTTGGGCAGTGACACTGTATCCCTGTGGCACATATAGCATTGGCCTGTGTAGTCCAAATCACAGGATTAATGTTTACTATACTTAGTTTGTGTTATCAGATAATCAGTTGTTGATAACGCTACTGATTATTGCTAAAATTTTTCAAAATATTCATTGCTAACAACCTGAAATTGTGCTCTTTCCTTTTTGAAAACTGTGTTACAGAGGTAATTAAAAGTTAAACTAAAATGCCTCCATCAGCCGCAATCCGGGGCGTCCTTCAATGCAACGTGTCTTGAGATTGACCATTTTTTGGTGGAGAAAGACAGATTATTCGTGGTCAAGGATATCGATTACCAGTATTCGGAACAGATATATATTTGCAGTACGTACTAATGAAAATCTGATTGTCAAAATTTAGAAGAGTGGGGGTTCTTGTACATTTGGAGAGAGAACACTGCACTGCCCTCTAGATGTGTACACTTTCTTAAAACTGTCAGTGCAGCACAGACTGATTATTTCCTTTAGGAATAGTTTTCTCTTTTAATCGATTCATTGTTTGGTCCATGAAGTGGCAGAAAATGGTGAAAAATGTCCATTAGTGTTTGCCAAAGTCCAAGATGGCATATGTCTTCTTTTGTCCACAACCCAAAGGTATTTAGTCGACTGTCACAGAAGAGGAAAGAACCATAAAATATTCAGTTTTAGGAAGCTGGAATCAGAAATTGTAGACTTTATTTACTCAAACCCATCAATTAATTATCAAAACATTTGGCAATTCATTTCAAAGATGAAATAAATTAATTGATCATTGCATCTCTACAGGATCGTCCACACTCGTGCATTGTTAATTGCCATCAGTTGGCTGCTAACATCATGTAGTCAGGTCTGTACACCATCCCACTCCATCAGTCTCCAGGTTTACTGCCAACCTTCACTATTTGCTGTCAATAGGAATAAAAAAAAAGTATTCTACTTGTTATTCAGAAAGTGGTCTCCCTCAGCTGGAAATTACACCATAAAATTTTGAATGAATGATGCTGTCAGCTGATTTTTATCCACTGCTATTGAATACTTGAATGATTGTCTCTAATGCAGCACAGACGCGCTGCAGAAGGAATTTCTGCAGCTGTGAATGTAAAAATGTTCCCAGGAAAACTCCTGTTACTGCTGCCAGTGTCTCAGCAGATGGTCTATTATCCTCTGTCTATGGAGAAGCTCTAGAATGTGCATTATCTATTCATTTATCTTTTATTTGATTTGATCATCTGTGTCTTTGCTGCTCAGCAAATTAAGACACTAAAACTGGGCTGTGGAATAAGGCTTCTTTATTGAAAGCTGAAAATGAAAAGCTCCATTATGGACTATCTTTGTCAGCATGTGTTAAATAATATGAGAACCCATAAATCAAAGTCACAACTCTCTTTTAAAGCATCTTCTTAGTCCACGGGGGGCAGCCAGTAATACCTAAACCCTCATGTTAACCATGGTTTAAAATCTAAAAGGAGGCATTAAGCCATTTTCATCCAGGTGGGTCACAGTTGTCACAGTGTTTCTTACACTAGCTCCTTTACAATAATGACTTAAGTGGATCAGCGTCGAGGTCGAGGCTTAATCTCAGTGTCCATCTGCCCCAGGTATTGGCCATGCTTCCCCAGCACAGCTGATGGATTAAAACAGCACATTGAGTCTTGAGCTTGGGGGGGTTGGGATTTGGGGGCGTGCAGTAAAAACACTAATTGCTCTTGTTGATAATTCAATGTTCAAGGGCAAGAGTGTGACCACTGGGTGGAAACTTGAGGTTTGACTAAACGGCTTCAGCGTGACCTACTAGTCCAAAGTCATTCTGTTTAGGAGACACATGGTGTCAGTGTTTCCAGGAAGGAATTCAGTGACTGTTTGGCATTCCGGTACAGAAAAACCACATGTCCCCAAAATGGTTTTATTAAGCTCTAAAAGACAGCTTTGTTATGAGACTTTTTTATTATTATTTTTTGGATATTACAATGACTTTTTATCTCTTTATTTTGCTTAGGATTTAGGAGGAATTCCTCAAATCTTAACTGGACTAATTACTCAGACTGTTAATACCTCATATTACCTTCAGATCAATTTAGGAATGACATAACGTAACCGGAGTGTGCGCTGTAATTAATTCACAAAGGTCTTGGGTGGCCTTGCCTGCCGTCAGTTACCTTTGGCTGTTTGTCTCTTTGTAGTCATTTAACTGAGTTGTGTGACTGTCCAACCAGAAATATTTATGTTGCGTTCCAGTGTAGTACATAATACGCAAGGAAAGGATTTAGCATGTCCCAATACATAGTATGTCAAATTTAGTATACAAGTATTCTCAGAAATAAAGAACATTTGTAGATTTCTGTCAAATAGCCCAACAAAACTTACTGCTATCATGTGTCAGTTCTGAGGCAGGACAAATCCTGAACATGCCTGCAAAGTCAGGAAGTAGAAAAATCCTGCAAGCAAACAACCATGAGTGTAAATAATTCCACTATTTAGATAATCAAGAACTTTGGCTTTGCAAGGGTTTTATCAGGAGGGAAAGGCATCCACCAAGTTATAGCAGTTAAATGTCAAGGATATGCTCCAGGGTTCATTTAATCATTTGGCTTGCAGAAAAAAAGACTCAGTATTAAATGTGTTACATATCAAGATGATATCCAGACTGTATTCAACACTAGTAAAAACATAGTTATCTCTTCTGAGTTTATATCTGCGCTTGACTTGACACTGTGAGAAAACAAAACGGAACAATAGTATTTGGAAAAAATCCAAAAACCAGGCCCATAATCATTTTAATATACTTTTTCCTTTTTGTTCTCTTTCAGGACTACAAGCCAGAGGAAGATCCTTCTCTTTTCCACTCGGCCAAGACAGGCAGAGGACCTCTAGGCCCTGAATGGAAGGTAACTGACACGGACGCAGAACTGTGTTATGGTCATACCATATGCTCGTACACCTGTAATTACTGATCGCTGCTTTCCTTTTACGTCCTTCACAGAATGAGCTGAAGACAGATTGTCCCTACATGTGTGCGTACAAACTGGTTACTGTCAAGTTCAGATGGTGGGGTCTGCAGACCAAAGTGGAAAACTTCATTCACAGGGTAATAAACACTGTCCTCTCACATCAGAAGTGCTTACTACTATGCTTGCACCCATTTTCAGTTACATGTAAATTATTTAGCTAACATTTACTTTTAGCATATTTATTATCAGGATGGATCTGCACGGTCTTCATCACACAGTTCTGATTATTAATTTTACTTGTTGTTTCTACTTTGCCCAGCAGAGGGGGGCATGGCTTTTCTTTTTTAAAATCATCTGCTCATGTTGGAAATAGAAAATAGTAAACTGAGAAAAGGTCAGAAAAGAGATGCGAGGGAAAAGATTACCAAGTGTAGTTATTTCAGGAGAAAAACAACCATTCTTGTGCCTTGAGCTTACTGCTACTCTTTAGTAGTATTAACCCTCTGAATCCAAAGCAGTTTCTGGGTGTTTATTGTTCTTGCAACATTGTCCTCACTGTGGGCTTGTTTTTCACTGCAGCAGAGCTCAGAAATGTCTTCTGTGCAGTACAGGATACTGAAGAATGATGGGGGCTCTACATGCATTAGATATTTAACTATTGACTTTTTTATATAGCCGCTATAAATGTTTTTCCCACTATTCTGCACATTAACTCTCAAAAGATATTTCACCATGCTTGATGTATCCAAGAACTTTCTGGCATCTTGTGTACTGTTACTGGTCCAGTAGGTTTTTTTTTTGTTTTCCCTCATTTTTCCTTGTCGTCTCCTCTGCTCTATGGAAACACAGCCTGCAGTTCACCTGAAAACTATTTTTCTGTAATTTTTCGTGGTTTCTGGCTCTGATTTAAACTTTTAAAGTATTGTTTTAAATAATGTGCCTTGCCCTTCTTTCCACAGCAAGAAAAACGTATTTTCACCAACTTCCACCGCCAGCTGTTCTGCTGGATTGACAAATGGGTGGGTTTGACCATGGAGGACATCAGGAGGATGGAAGAGGAGACTCAGAAAGAGCTGGAAGAGGTAAATAGCTCACCAACTATCTTCTCACTGCCCTTCTCTAGTTGTGATTTTTAAGGTTTAAATCCAGCAGAGTTGCTTCTTTGATAATGTTTGAAATGATATTGTTTTGACCAGACTACTGGAGAGGCGACACATCACATTTAACCTACTTGATTTAACCCTTTACTCCTGAATTTCACATCAGATGCGTCAGAAAGGAGATGTGCGAGGCACCTCAGCAACAGACGAGTAGAGGCTCGTCGCTGTAGGTCAGACACTAGAGGCAGGCTGAGTAAGTTTCAACACAGGGGAGGTGGTGGCGCCGCTGCATGGATCATTCTCCACCCTTTCATTCCGCTGTTCGCCTGCTGTTGAACTTTTTCATCACTTTATGGGACAGTCAGCTTTGTTTTCATGTTTTTCCATTCTAACCTTTCTCTGTTTTCATCTCTATACCCTTTTCTTCAACTGTGGATCAGCTAATCCAGGCCTGCCATCATTAGACAATTCAACTAATCTGTGAAATAATTGTTCAAGTAATGTTTTTTTTTAAGGCAAAATTACAAAAAATGTGATGCTACGAGATTCTCCCATGAGGATTTGATCCTTTTTCTGACATACATGACGATACTATCAGTATTCAGAGTTGCAAATCTTAACAAAATATTGTACTTTTTATTTCTCTCTGAAAAAAAAGAACCAATGAGAGTACCGTTAAAATACAGATAAGCAATATCATAAAATCTAAAGGATACCCATTCCTACTAGTTATGTGTGAAACCACTTGTATTGATCCATGCATGTAGAATAGAATCAGGGTCTGTTGTCATTGTTTTTTTCCTGCCTGTTGTTCATTAACTCACATTCCTCATTTTCATTTAAGTTTTTAACATTTTCTTGCAGCTCTTTTGCGGCTTTTGTCTTGCATGCTTCTTTCTGCTCTGTTTGTTTTCCTCCTCATGTTCTGTGGTTGTGGAAAATCAGATTGACCTTACAAAAATGTTTTTCCTTTAAGTTTTTTGGATTTTAACTGCATGCACATTGCTCATTGCAAACAGACTGAACAGGGCATCTGCTGGTCTTAAAGTGTTTAAAAACTAAAATAAAAAAATATCATGTTAAATGTTTCATTTGTGATATACTGTTATCTGGGCCAAGGTCATGTTCATTGAGCATGTAAAAAAACAAAGAGGTGTAAATGTCAACAAATTAACTAATATTGTGTATTAAATATGTTAAAGCATTGTGCTTTTTAGATTTTTCGTCACTCTTTGACTGCTACGGCTGTTAAAATGTCGTTCGTGCAATTTGGCAAAAGGTCTTCAGAGGCCATTAAACTTGGTGACCCAGCAGAAACCCTGTTCAGGATCTTTAGCACCAGCCTGAACACTAAACCTGACTACTCTCCCTCCTCTCTGCCCCTCAGCTGCGTAAAACAGGTCCGATTCGAGGCACCAGTGCTGCTCATGAGCAATGAGGCAAATCAACCAAACCCTGTCATGATGATGTCATCGGAGACACGCCCACCACGCTGAGGAAGTGGCCCCGACGTCGCCTCTTCTGTCTCTTCTGTCTCACATGATTCATTGGGGGGTTTGACACGATTGGTTAACAGTACTGTACAGATCCTCCCCCAATCACACACCTCCTGTTCACTCAGAAAACAATAAAAAGAAAAAAAACATTCAACAGTTTTGCATACATATAAAAAGGAAAAAAAAAAACTCTTTGCACAGAACGTAAATTGCCTGATATGTAATTGTTAGTTAATTATTACAATGGGCTTTGTTTTTATTCAGGTGTGTAAACCGTGACTCAGACAGTCAAGCCTTTTAAATTCATTAGAATGTTGTTTTTAGCTCCCATAAAAATTAGTACGACTTCAGCCGGTATTGGACCATTTATCCCTCCCTTCCCTTGTATTATAACCGTTTGTCTCTACTTGATTCCTCGTCTCTCCCCTCAGTATTGTCTGTACTCTTGTCCTGGCAAAAGTTTGTCTCAGATCCCTCCCCCTTTGTCTCACTGTCCCTCTGTCTGGCAGTTGGTTGGGAATATTTCTGTTTTAATTTCGAGGCGGATCCAAGCAGATATAATGCTCATGCATGATAGATAATTCTTTGCTATTGTTTTCCCCACACATGCACACCGACCCTCCTCCTCCTCCTCCTCCTCCTCATCTTCCTCCTCCTCTTCCTCCTCCGTCACAAGTGCATGTGGACAACAGCAACTCCTCACTTAAACTGTCATTGCATGGTCGCTGCAATGCAGCTTTGCTCAAGTGGACTGTATGTGTTGACCAGAGAGCGGGTTAGCGCCCTCTAGGAGAGTCTGTACAATACACTCGTGTGCATATGTGTGCTTGTTTGTGTTTTCAACTGCCTTCACTCTTAAAGGACTGTCACTCTTGGGACTGAGATGGATAACGTTCAGCTTAAAATCGAGGCTTGTAAACTTGGCCTCCTGAACTTTGCCTCATGCTGTCGCTGCATGGCCTTCCTCCTTGGCTAGGGCTTTAACTGGAGCGCTCCCACGGCCTCCACGGAAGCTTTTTTCATTTTCTTTTTTCTTTTTTAAAAAACAAATAAGGATGAGAGTCTGTGCGTTGCTGCGTGCATGAATCAAGGTAGTTGTTTTTTTTTTTTTTATATCTTTCTCAAACTACTGTTTCCTTTCTCAACTGACAGAGCAAATGGGTCCAGGCAGATCTGCCGTGTTTGTTGCATTCTGGGTGTTTAGTTTTTTTTATTTTCACCATGTATAGTGATTTTTTTATTTTTTTTTTAAGCTTTTCATCCACAAGAAAATATGAGATCAGTCTGAATTTTTGTGGACTGTTTCTAGTTAAGGATGAAATTGCTTTGGTTCAGTAAACTGCAGTTAAGGTCGGTGTTGGGTGATCTAGTTCGAGCGTCTTTATCCAGCTCACTACTTTACTGTTTTGTTTTGAATTTTTTTTTGTCTTTTTTTTTTTTTTTTTTTTGCTGCATTGACTTGAGGTTTTATCACAGCAGAAGCTCTTTGTCTTGAGCTTAGCGCAGATCCTGTCGAATTCTAGGGGAAAAAAAACTATTTAGT